GAGAGACTCAGTTGCTCTAATGCACTGGTTCATTATCTATACGATATTGATTGGATGGAGGCTATTTGTTTAGCAAATCAGTCTCTTTTCTGAAAGCTGCCTGACTGCTGAGGAGCCTGACAAAACTCCAATTTCTCTGCAGATGTGTGTGCAGGCTAAAATTAGCCTTTTGTTGTTGAATCAATACCAGTTGTTGTTGTTGTTGTTTTATTTTTTTCCTTTTCTTTCCCCCCCCACTTGTGTCACACCATATTTCTTATGAAGACCTCTGGTGTCAGGGAGCAGCAGCAGTAGTGTGTGTTTGTGTGTCAGAGGCTGGCAGCATCAGCATCAGCAGCAGCGGCAGCAGCATCAGCAGCAGCAGCAGACGGGGAGCAGAGAGGGATGGAGCGGTGCGCTGCCCGGTGGAGGGGCTGAGGCGGTAACACACTTTTACATCCCATCCTTTTTTCCCTTCCCGTGCGCATCAGCGAGCTCTGATCCATAGGTTGGAAAAGCAGAGAGAAAGAGAGAGAGAGAGAGAGAGATCTTCCTAGACAAAGATCACAGAAATGTAACAATTACGAGTGGAGGAGAGAGCTGAGAAAGAAAGAAAGAGAAGAAAAAAAAAAAGAAGAAGGTAGGAAGAGAGAGTTGGAGGGATTTTAAAGGAAAGCGACGGCATCAAAGTCTACATTATTAAGGAGGATTTGAGGAGTCTGCGTTTATAATCCGACATCAGAGGCGGAATGTGAATCCAAATAACTTATGTTAATTAGAGATTTTAACGAATATGATGCGATTTGAACGGCTCTGAAGCACCGAGAGAGGAGAATGTGAGATTGGCCACTTGAATTTTAAATATCTGTGGATTCTTTTTTTTTTTTTTCCTTTTTTTTCTCCTTTTTTTAAAAATGGGGAATCTGCCTGCCTTCACCGTCGATTCGCCCCCTAAGAACTGATTCTGAATCCTGTACGGTCTTTTTTTTTCTTAAAAAGAGAAAAAAAAGGAGTTGGCTGTGAGGGGTTGTGGTTGTGTCGGACTCACACTGGAGTTACCATGATTTCAGACTGAGGGGATGATTGTATAGTGCGTCTGGGCTTTCTCCTTTTTTTTTTTCTTTTTTTTTTCGCCAATGATTGCCGCCTCATTTCACAGGTCCGACTGAGACTTTGTGAAGAAAAAAAAAGAAAAGAAAAAAAAAGCAGAGGGAGATTATTGTTTGTCAGCCTGCGAGTCAACACCAGTGGATCGCGAAGAAAAATCCACACGAAGAGCCACGAGAAGAAAAAAAAAAAAAAACAAGCTCAACTTCTCAACTAAACTTTTAAGTCTGGAATATAAGAATAGATGATTCTCAGAGGACTAAAGACGGAAGACACCTAACGGCCTACAAGATGTTCAAAAGGGGTGAGTCAACTTTTTGTTCCGAATGCAAAGTGATTTATGTTTTTTTTTCCAACCTGTGTTTGCGCCTCCTGCTTTACGAGACAGATGTTCCGTAATGCGCCACGCTGGATGCGTTATTTGGGGCTCACGGACGATGCGCCATTCTCCGAGCGCATCTTTGGTGCGCACCGGGGCGATATCTTGCGGATGAAATATTCATCCGTGTATACATGGGGACGACTGTGCGGTATTAATACAGCTGATGCCGCACTGCAGTTTATGACTTGTACCCGGGTCACAGGGCTATCTCTCTCTGTTTCTCCCAAGCGTTATTATTTTGCTGTGTGTCAGTACATTTGGATGTGATGGATCAAATCGCAGTATACGAGCACTCCAGACCTTCAGCGCCTCACAGGCTATAAAAAAAAACACACACACACACACACAAGAGGCGCTCCTCAAACTTTTAATATCAAGAGCCCCCCCTCTTCCCCTCTCAGACAGATAGCTCCACATCAGACCTCACTCTTATTTGATGATCGGTGTCCCAGGGAGCTGTTTGTTTCGTTCCTGCGCTTTAATTGGCCATATACAGCCACACAACTGTCTGCACTGGATGTCTGACAACAGTAGGGAGAGTAAAAAAAAAAAAAAAAAATCCTCAAATGAGAATGGATTACAGCACTATATGCTCCCAGTGTGCTATCATTGGAGAAAATAGTGAAATTAAACTGCTTCTCATTTTTGCTGTGGCCCCTGGAGACCCCTCAGGGACCCCACTTCAGCAAAGACTGCAGCACTGTGCTTATCACTTTGTCATAAGGCAACCTGCTTTGTTCTTCTTTTTTGTTTTTGCACAATTTATATCAGAGCAAAGGAGTACAGGAGGTAGTAGAACACTGCTTGGTGGGGGTCACCATCCAGCACTTGCTCCTTGTGTTGCGTTTGTATTTATTTTGTCTGTCTTGCGAAAAACCATCTGTTTAGAGTGTGTTTGTTTCTGCTATGTGCCTCAGGGGCAGAGAGAAACAACATGTTTCTCTTGCTGCCATCAGATCGATTATTGCTGTTCCAACAGTCGAGATGAAACACACCACGGTTATGGCTGTGTGCAGCATTTGAGGGAAGGTTTAATGTCTAAACCTGCATCCTGACAGGTTCTCGGAACTGATCCGACTCGACAAAGAGACGGGAAGCTCGTCTTACATCTGGATTTTATTTTTTTTTTAGAGGAACTGGCGTGAGTCATGACGTGCTTTCCAGAAGAGGCTCTTTAGAGTTTAATGCACGAGCAAACATGTCTGGTGATAAATGCAGGAGTATAGTGTTATCATAGACACATCCTCAAGGAGATGATGTCCCAAAGCAGTCATTCATTCTGCATTCAAACTGAGGCTTCAGTGGAGAATTGAAAGGTAGCAGAGGTGATTGGCATCCAAGGATTTTTGTACTCCAAACATGCTCCATCCCTGCTCCGTCCAAGGCTTCTGCATGCGAATCAGCCGTCTCACCTCTGCGCAGTGCCGGACAGAAAATCACTTAATTCAAGACAAATGACTTCAAAGTACAGATTTCACCACGTCTGCCAAAAAGGGCTCGGTATGCCAACATGTCTGAGTCTACAATAGGGATGCAGAGATGCGTCAGCTTTGGCAGGAACAGCGCAGAAGTTCTCTGGTGAATTTGAATGTTTTTTTTTTTTGTTGTTTTTTTTTTTTGCACCTAAAATAACTCATTCTAGGGAGCCTGGCTGATGCATCAGACACAGCATTTACTGTGACAGATCCACCAGAGAAAGAAAGTGTCTCTCCTTCTAAGTATCTTAGTTGAAACATGTTGGCAGCAATTCTCAGGTTGACTTCCATCGTGGCTAGCTGTGCCTAATTACCATGTTAACGCAGCGGGCACGCAGGTTTAGCAGATAGTCTGACAAGCCTGTGGATGCTGATTTCTTCATCTCTGGTCCATGATTTTGTACAGGATGATCACTGTTGCGACAAGGTATGGTCATGTCCATACAATCCACTAATATGTCCGAACATGTGCAACATTTGTGTGTATTCAATCACAGGTGAGACAACATAGTCCTCGTATCTTTGTTTGGACAGTCTGAGCGGCGTTTGCGGTTCTGCTTGCGTGTGCTATTAAACCTTTGCTGTGGCTTATAGAGCGACTACATGTGTGACTGAGTCTGTATCTCTGTGCATTTACGTAGCCGTTAAAGCATACCTGTCACTCCATCTCTGTCATCTCGACTTTTCTGTCTGTCTCTCCGTCTCACTTTCACAATCT